TTATAAGGTTAGCAATCCTGTTTGTTAGCAAATATGATTAAACAGGATTGCTAAGGTAAGGCCTTATAATATCAATTTAAAAAAATTAATGTTTCGAAAAAATTCTAAACATTATCTTAAATAATAATTTTTAAATCGTTGATAATTAAAGAATTGTATCTAATATTAAGAGTATTTCTTTATAGAATCACATTGTTTGGAAATATCCACAAAAAATAATCTTTTATCTGCTTTTAGTCATTTACCAAAGGACTATTTAAAATAACCACCGTATTTCACAATGCGGATGAGAAAGCTTTTGTGTGCAATAGTCATTGTGTTTTATCTTGTGTCCAAACACAACCACAGGTAACACATTCCCTAACACTGCCTGGAATGTGTTAACAGCTCTGACAACACGAAGGTGTTGCCATGTGCTAAACGTGTTTGGCGTTGGTCTAGATTTGGGCGAATTTAAATAAGCCTGTTTTTCTTTACAATCCTCAATTGTATTCTCAATAGAATTTAAAAATTGTAAAAATAAAGAATCATATAAGCGGTTCTAGAATGTTATTTTATTCAACGCATTATAAAAATATCTTATGTATATGAGCAACTCACGATTCATCGGAGTAGAGTAAAATGCCTGTGAGATTCAGTTATTCAACAATTTTGAACACAACCCAGCCACCCGTCAGATGCACAATGGGCACATTTTACGCCCCATATCAGCACAATATTCACTACAGCTATTTGTACATTTACAATAAAATCATTTACATAACAATTAGGGGGTAACTAGGTGTCCTAGTTTTTATACGTGATAGTTTTTTGTCATATATTGTTCTTTGTATTTAGAAGTTTTTTTTTTAGGTATAAGGCCCGTTAGAAAAGGATGGGAGCTTTACCTGAAACACTGAAAATCAATATATTCCCACATATATATTTTTTTATTTAATATACTGAATAAAATATAAAATTCAAGATTTATATTTCTCTGACTTAGTTAATTCAACATAAAACAGTTATATATTGTAGTTGTGTGTATTGTATAATGATATTGCAGTCATTTGCCGAGTAGGGTTGGCTGGAAAAATTTACAGAATAGAAAGAAAAAAGAGGGCTTTGAATGAATAATATTACTTCCAATGTGTGTACAAGCAAGGATTATTTTTGGATCAGGTTTTTTATAGGTATGTATCTGCAGCATCGTATGCAAGGCGGGAAAAATATTGATTTTGGAATAAATACTAGCAGAGAGTTAGGAAAGGTTTCGTCGTTGGATTAAGTACTTAGCTTTGTGTATTTAATTTTTATGTCTGCCATTTATTCGTCCACGCTGAGTAGCTTCTCATGAAAGATAACATTTAAAGTAGATCCAATCTACAAAATAACTAAATCATTCGTCTGTAAATTTAACACATTTAGTTTTCATATTTATCTCAATTAGTTAGGCCTATATTTTGTCAAACTATTAATTTTCTAGCAGTAGTTGAATTAGTCAAATGTAGCGGGAAGGGCCACGAATGGTGGTTGGTAGTTAGTAACAGTAGAAACTCAAGGCGTAAATGTTCCAGATTTAAAAGTGGACGCCTGTATCAAACCTTCCGTTTTTTCTGGTTCTAAATATTAAACTTTAAGCTACAAAATAAAAAAAAACATTAACCGGTATATCGGAACCAACTTGATAACTTATAATACATACAGGTTACCTTATGGTAAACTACAGAAATGAGTAACCTACCTTCCTAACAGATTCCTACCTTAGGCATTTTATTCAATAAGTAGTTTTATAATGAGTAAATTTTAATTCAAACAAACTTTTAAGTGTCCATAAAATGATTAGTGCTTAATTTTACCCAACATTAAAAACTACAAGCGTTATAGGACTAATACTTATATTATTGTTTAAATTGTTGAATTATTGAGTAAGTCCTATCGGTTACATTATTCTATCAATCAAGATATTTTACACAGCGTTACATTTTCATACAAAACCTCTCCTTAAAAATGAGAAAAAAAAGTTTTTACTGGGTTTTGTGTGAGAACGAGAGATAAAAAAACAATGTCTGCTGCATCCAAAACACTTAAACGTTTTTGGAGCCATAACCGCGAATTTCAGAGTTGGAATTGTAAGGACAGGGATTGTGTTACATCCTGTGTATCAGGACAAGAAGTAAAACACAATGACTACTGCGTACAATACATTCTCCCTGTTTGAAAACCGGCGGACATTTTAACACACTCAACTTTTGTTTTAACAAATCTCTGTGTTTTATACCAAAAGAATTAAATATGCATTTTAACGATAAGATCCTGTCAATGAATCAATTAGGCCTAAATATAATGTTGTGTAAGTTTCTCTTGATTTCATAAAACACATAGTCAACAAAATACGATTGATGGTTATTTGTAATAATGTAGGTATGTATTTATTTGCTAAATTTGCTAATTAATTTGTTAAATTCAATTTGGTATCGGTAAAGGTTGCTATTGATCAAGTACCCGGATTGTTTTACATACTTTTTTTGCAACACACCTGTCAAAAACCAACTGTATAAGTAGCCCTTACTCATATTTCGCATAAGTGTAATGCGATATAATGTTAACAAAATTCATGCCAAGAAAATGTTTTACAACATGCAAAGTTCACTTAAAAATCATTACATCCATTTTAAGTTTTAATTTGAAATGTTGGTGACATGTGCTTGGCATTGTTCTGGTACGTAAGTTCAGAATATGTAGTAAAGTTATTGTGGCTATACAATGTTATGGTAATATTACTTTCCCTAGTAATTGTGTACTTGTTTGTGAACGATATAATTTTTTAAGTTTTTTATTTGATCATATATGACTTGTAGTGTTATGAAAGTCCTCGGCAATAAGGTGAGAAGAATAAATAATAACAATACATGAATAAAAAAGTTGAAGTTTTGAATATTTATAAAGTAAAAAAATATCTTAAGTATACTTTTAAGTTTCAAATGGCATAAAAGAATATTACAAAAAAACATTGCTTTGAGTACTTGAATTGCGAATTTAATTTACAGTATTTTCTTTATTAATGCAAAAGAAGTTATAATTAATGTGAAACTTATTCTTCAGAATTTCGTAATAAACTTTTCCTTCGACGCCATAGGCAATATCTGGAAGAAAATGTTATGGAATATTGCAGTTGGATTGTATTTTTTTGCTGAACATAAATTAAAGAATGAATATATAACATCGTATTTTAATAAGTTGGTTTAATTTGAATTATTACAAGCAATTTGACTAATGTGTTCGAACAAAAAAATCCTAATGGAATGCGTGAGAGCTATGTGAAAGAAAACAAAGCTCATGAAACGAGTTTACTACGAAGTCAACGACAGTAGCACCTTTTTAAGGTGCTTGAAGCTGATTTTGTAGTCATCAGTATCTTTCTTTGAATGTTGAATCCTTCTGCAGACCAATTTAAAGCAAATATTTAATCTATAAAAGTATTAAAAAGTAAAGTATTAAATAGATTTTTCTAAATATGAAGAATACAAACTAGAACCTTAACACTCTGTAAAAATTGTTTTCCAAATATGTAATTAATTTCAAACCATCCAGAGTGACATATTTTAAGTAGGTATTGTTTTCTTATAGTTTACGATATACAAAACATTGTTAAACTAGGCTTGGTTTGTTGTACGAGACTGTGCATTCAGACTAAATAAAAATAAAAATGAGTAAATATGAGATGAAAATACGGACAGGCGTGGGAGGTGGTGGAATGGTTGAAGCCTAATCCCACGGTCGGTTTTTACTTTTAGCTATAACACACCTTAATTGACCTACAAATATAGTTTCAGTACGAAATGGCTTCATAAGATTAACGAGAAACCCGAAAGAAAAGATTAACGTACTATATGTACTTAGGAGAATCCAGTAGTAGTGGTATGTTATTTAGTTGTAATTGTTATACTTATGTTATAATACATTACATCAAAAGATTCAATGAGTTTATCTAGAGCTACAAAAATCATTTACCTTTAAAGTTATATTTTTATTGCTCTGGCAATATTAAAAGTAGTATTCAAATAAAAAAATAACAAACTAACGTCGAAGATAATGATTGATTTAAAACATTTCCCACCTAAATTAAAGCTACTTACCCTGATGATTTATACTTGTTTCTTACAAACTGTTGTTGATGAGTTGAAAATAATACAAATATGAGCAAGAGCTTATTTAGTTTTTCAAGTCCTCAGTGAGACAGAAATGGCAAGACAAATTGTTTAGCGGCGGAAGCGGAACCTTCATCATTAATTTGTCTGAGATGTTTCTTCGTCTGAGGTTGACCAAATTCTAATTCCTGAAAGATGATTCCTATAAAAAGATTTTGAACTCATCATAGTGGTCTGGAAAGCTAATTAGTATATTGCGGAAAAATAATTATATTAAAATACAAGTTATTATGTTTAAGAAAGAGTAGTGGTTATTAGACAGCTTAATATTACTGTACAACATTTCAGTATTTAATTTTTTCAATTCATAGTCATTTAAGAATTTTACGACTTGCCATAATATTTATGAAGATTTGTAGAATTTATATAAATGAAATATAATTATGAAAGTATTCATTTAATTTACTAACCACACATTTATTACAGATAGTTATTGTTTAACTATTAGGTCTAGTAGTAAGTTACAGGTTACAACTATAGCTTACCAAGGTTAGATGTAAAGTGGCTCGGACCATAGTGAGTAGCGTTCCAAGTGATAAGTGCATAGAGTAAGTACTTGTTCTATTGCTGTGGCTTTATAGGCCTACACTATATGTACAACATCCTTCCCTCCAAGGATTTTTTCAAAAAACTCAAATTTCTTCTCTTTATGTCAATAAAAATATCTTCTAAAATTCAAATAAAAATATCTTCTAAAACTTCAAAAAACTGCTTCCGAAATTTCAATAAAAATATTTTCCACTCTTCAATAAAAATAATTCTTGTAAAACATAACTAAAAATAAACATCTTCTTCTACCTCATTTCTGTTTTAATGTTTGTAACGTTCGGGCGTTTTTATGAGACGTCCTGAACGAGTAGTCTTCATTTGGGCTCTTTCCGGTGTAACATGGTCTCTGATAGGTTCATTTACTTCAACGTGTTCTGTCGACTGGGAAAATGGAGTATCGTACATGAACAATGACTTTTTTGCTGTGTGGCTGCATTTAGGACTCGGACTTGGTTTTAGCATTTCTCGGTTTCTACGGTACAAACCTTCAGGTGTTTTAATAATGTAAGATCTTGAGGAAGGTTTTGACACAACTGTGCCCATCGCCCACTTGCTATTGGTTTGCTGTGGTTTAGTTTTTACCGCTACTCCTTGTCCAATTTCTAGATCAGGCAAATGTCTTGAACTCCTGTCATACTGGTACTTATACATCTGTTTTTTCTTGATCAACCTATCTCTCACTTGAGTCTGAACATATGGTTTGAAGAGCTCGCTTTTCATGGGAACTAAAGACCTTGTTCGACGTGACATTATCCGTTGAACGGGACTGCTGGCCACACCTTTACTTTCAGTGTTTCTCCACTCAAGAATGGCTAACCATATATCGATATCTTCTTCTTCTGCTTTGTCAAAAAGTCTCTTCAGTGTCTTTTTTGCAATCTTGACAGTTGCTTCGGCTTTAGCATTACCTCTCGCATGATAGGGCGAAGATGTTACATGGGAAAATTCCCATTCTTTGGCAAACTTAGTCCAATCTTCACTTATAAAATTGTTTGCATTATCTGTAACCAGTGTTTTAGGGATTCCCCATCGGCTGAAGTTTTTCTTGGATATCTCAATCAATGTTGACGATGTTGTATCCTCTAGTTCGTCAAGTTCCCAAAAATCTGAATAGTAGTCAATTGTTACTAGGTAGTTTTTCCTTCTTAGAGTGAAAATGTCCATCGCTACACGCTGCCAGGGTAGATCAGGTACTTCATGTGTTTGCATTGGCATATGTGGTTGATTTGGAGAATTTAGTAGACAGGCTGAGCATTGTTCAATGTTTTGTTTAATATCTTCTGACATGCGGGGCCAGTATAGCGCTTCACGAGCTTTCCTTAGTGACGCATCCAGACCTGGATGACTTGAATGTATTCTCTTTAGCATCTCTTTTCTCATAGTGATAGGTACTACTAGCCTATTCCCTCTGAAGACGAGGCCGTCATGTGCCACAAGTTCATCACGGAAATTCCAATATTCCCTTAGCTGTGCGCTCACCTCTTCTTTACTCCTAGGCCACCCAGCAGTAATTACGGTTGTCAGGGCACGCAGAGTTACATCCTGTGCTGTAAGATCTTTCATCTGTTTAAGACGTTCTGGTGTGACATTCAAATGTTGTGTTGAATCTATGTTTTCTAGTGCTTTGAAACACCTGTCTTCTTTTGTGATTTGATATACCTGATAAGTCTCAATGTCTTCTTGGTTCTTGATTGAGTCATGAGATACTGCTGCTCTTGATAAAGTGTCAGCAATTGTCATCTCTGAACCTTTCTTATACTCTAGTGTGAAATTGAATTTTTGTAGTTTCAAAAGCATACATTGTAGTCGTCGCGGTGCAGTCAGCAGAGATTTTTTAAAAATTGAAACCAAAGGCTGATGGTCAGTTTGTATGGTTACATCTTTTTTCCCATTGATGTAGTATTGAAATCGTTTACAAGCAAAGAGAATAGCTAAGCATTCCTTCTCAATCTGAGCATATCTTCTTTCTACAGTTGACAATGTCCGGGACGCAAATGCAATGGGCTGACCTGACTGCAAGATCGCTGCACCAAGACCGGTACTACTGGCATCACATTGAATAGTTACTGGCTCCTTCACATCAAAATATTTAAGAACTGGAGTTGACGTGATGCATTTCTTAACATTTTCAAACGACAGATCATGTGTTTTATCCCAAATCCATGGAACATCTTTCCGAGTAAGATGCCTTAACGGTTCACATATTTCCGAAAGAGATGGCACAAATTTAGCCATATAATTTACAAATCCAAGGAATCGTTGAATATCTTTAATATTCTCAGGTTGCCTTCACTTTGGTCATGTCAGTTTTAAGTCCATCTTGAGACAACACATGCCCCATAAAAGTTACTTCTTTTTCTCTCAGTCTCATCTTCTTCTTGTTGAGTTTTAAATTTTTTTCTCTAGCCCTAGCTAATAGTCTTTTTAACTTCTGGTCATGGTCCATTACAGCTTCCGTCTCAGAATCTCCACATCCGTAAACAAGGATGTCATCAGCGATAACCGCAATTCCTTCGAGATCACAAACAACCTCGTGTAGTCTTCTTTGAAATTCTTCAGGAGCTGGGGCAAGCCCAAATGGAAGTCTTTTCCAACGATATCTTCCTTGGGGAGTCCAAAAAGTAGTAAGCCTACTCGATTCGTCATCCAGCCTAACCTGCCAAAACCCATTTTTGGCATCCAAAACTGTAAAGACCTTTGCCCTTGCCAGTTCAGGCAATATATCATCTATGGTAGGCAATTGGTAATGTGGGCGCTGTAATGCACAATTTAAATTTCTAGGATCAAGGCAAATTCTCATTTTGTCATTTTTCATTACAACCACAATATTACTGATCCAATCTGTAGGATTTGTTTCTTTCACAATAATTCCCTGACTTTCTAGTTCATTAATTTTGTCCTTAAGTTTTTTTCTAAGTGGAATGGAGATCCTTCGTGGCGGATTCTTGACTGGCACTACACTCGGATCTACTTCTAGGTGATACACACCTGGAAGACAACCTAGACCGTTGAAGACATCTTCATATTCGGCAATGATATCTTCGGAATTACTAACTTGTTCAACTTTACATAGCTTAGCGTTAACTTGAATTATTCCGAGTTGTTCACATGCTTCTGCAGACAAGAGAGGTTTCTGGTAGGCCGATTCATTGACTATTTTAAAAGTTAATTTATGAAACTTATCATCACGAACAAGCTTAAGCTTTGCTTCACCAACGGGCTTAATGATTTTACCACTATAGCACTTCAACAAAGTGTCAGTTTCTCTGAGAACCATCCCATCAATCTTATTTAGGCCTACAGTAAGCTTCTCCAAATCATTCTTATGCATTATATAACAAGAGGCTCCAGTGTCGAGCTGACACTTCAAATAACAAACGTTATTACTACTATCTGTGCAAAAGGCAAGTTTAGTAAACCACTGTCCCTTACGACTAGTTGGATCATCCGATCTCGCTAAGTTAATACAATCTATTTTATATAGAGACTCTGAGCTACTCTCAACATCACTTTCAATCTGTTCTACAAGGTGAACATTACGGTTAGAGTATTTATCATATTTATTCTTATATTTTGAATTAGGCCTATTAGTAGAAAAGGTGTTCCTACAACATTTAGCAAAATGATTTGGTTTTTTGCAATTGTCACAGACTTTCCCAAAAGCAGGACAAACATCCCTTTTAAATTCATGAGGTTTGTCACAAAACAAACATTTTCTTCTGGATTGACTGGATTTATTAAAAGAATTTGGAAGGGTCCTACCTTGTGAGCGATGTCTTCCACTAGTACCTTGCATCTTATGAACCTCTTCTTTAAAATCAACCTTCTCCTTGAAGTTGAGATGCTTCAGTTGTTCATCCGTAGCTTCATGTGCTCTGCAGTGGTCAATAGCTGTAGCTAAGGTCAATTTTGGGTCGGACAACAATTTTTTCCTTAGTCCCAAGTCCTGTACTCCTAAAACTAGACGGTCTCGAATTAATTCCTGTTCCAAAGATTGGTACTGACAAGTTGAGCTGAGTTGTCTAAGTCTACAAATATATTGTTCAATTTTCTCATTCGGTTCCTGATTGGCAGAGCCAAAAACAAATCTTTCATAAATCACATTTTTTTCAGGTTCAAAATATTTATCAAAACCTGCAAGGATATCACTGACTTTAGCTTTTTGAGTTTTGTTTAAGTCAAGTGTTGTGAAAATTTTCAAACAGTCTTTACCAATAACTGACAATAGAGTAGCAACTTTAATACTCTCATCTTTTTCCTCTAGTCCTGTTGCAACACTATAATTTCCAAACTGAAGTTTAAAAAACTTCCAATTCTCTACAACATCTCCTTTGATCTCTACCGGCAAAGGCGGCGGTAGATGCATACTGACAGACGAGACAACTCGCTCTCCATCTGTAGACTTGCTATCAGAACCAGTCATCTTCAAATGACATAAAATAATTTAGACATGTACACATAAAATCAATGAAATTGCATAAAATATGGATAGTATCGAAAATAAAAGACATAGGCTATTATACAATAATTTTCTTCTCAGCTTGACCAAGTTAGGCCTAGGCCAAAGTAACTCAACCAATAGGCCTACAGTACGTAGACGCAACAGTGTCCAGCACTTGACTTATTGCCTGTCTAGGCCTACAAAATACTTCTCAGACAGTGTTAGTAGACTAACAGGTCATTGGCCTACGTTGGAACGCAGTTAGGTTTGGCTCATCCATAGACTAAGTTACCTAACTTTTTCTTTTTTCAAGTAGGCCTATGTAGAATACAGACTATTAAGTGATAAATTGATGAAAATTTGCAACTTCAGTAGTTTCTAAATGATAGGCCTAGTCAGATACAATTTGAAATTCATGTAGGCTATAAAAATATTGTTCACTCAAGATGGGTAGGCCTAGCCTAGAACATTGATAAAATAGGCTAATTTTAAAATATTATTTCCAACAATTACTTCAATAAAATCTTCACTCTTCAATTCTGCAGATTTATATAGTAGCCATGTATTGTTATTAAATACTTACAGTAAATATGAGTTTTATAGACGTAATGAACAAATTGCACAATTGAACTTTCAGGTTTGTGCATGAACTTGCACGTTCCTTCTCAAACCTGCAGCTTACAGCTTCGCAATTTACCACATTGCAACATCTTGGAAAATAAAATAAAATGCAAAACTTGTACTTGAATATGATTAATTGAAACGAAATATCTCCACTCTTGATAATGTGGGTTTTCTTCCGACTGTAATTCAAATTCTCAAAACTTGAAAATATATTGCAACTGCTCAAAACCTAGAGTTATATCGTCAATCAAACGTAGAGCTCTCATTGACTCTAATGCTCATCAATAGTATTGATACATTTGATATTACATATTAAAAATGAAATACTTCACTCACGCAAAATGAAAATAAAACTTCAAACTTCTTGATCTTGATCTAAAATCATCAACTCAATTTGTAAAAAAGGCATGGTAATCCGGTACCATAGCTGCCACCATGTTTAACTATTAGGTCTAGTAGTAAGTTACAGGTTACAACTATAGCTTACCAAGGTTAGATGTAAAGTGGCTCGGACCATAGTGAGTAGCGTTCCAAGTGATAAGTGCATAGAGTAAGTACTTGTTCTATTGCTGTGGCTTTATAGGCCTACACTATATGTACAACAGTTATTACGTTTGTACTTACACGAACAACTTGAAACAAAGCTAAGAGGGTATGTAAGGAAGTCTAAAAAAAAACTTAATAATTTAAATGTAATTACAGAAATATTGTCAGGATGGGACTTTGCAAACTAAACGTACATGAATTCAATACACAACTGTATATTTAATGTAGCCAGTAAGAACATGTTCAACGTAGTCTTGTTACATTGACAATATAACTTTATGGTGCAGAACACACAGTAAACCTGTAAACCAAGTACAATTAAAACGATTCAATCATACGTAAACATGCTCATTAAACTAAGCTATTACTTTGAAAGAAGTAACTAAATCTTTATCTAAACCATCTATTTACAGTTCAAAAGCTAACAATTTATTCGTTTTACTCTTCGTGAATTACTTTGACTCTTAAGTGACCCGGAACACAACGGCTGTTTTATAATCCATCCATTTGGTGACCGACATATAAAGTTTGCAAAATAAACGGGTGTATCAGTTTCATAAATTCACTTTTAATAAATATTGTATTTGTAAGAAGAAATGGTAATGTTATAATGATACAGACTAGTTTGCCATCAACTATTCGCAATCATGAAAAAATTCGTTAAAACATCCATAAGACAAGATTTTGATAACGTTTAAGAATTACTGTAGAACTATTTCAATATTTCAAATTATTAGTTTATACGAGTACATGATAGAAAATGTTTTTAGTGTTGGATAACACTGCCGGTTTTTTTTTCTATGCTATGTTTTATACCCCACACACGAAAAAACCAAGCAAATGTTGTGCAACTGGGAAATCCAAAACTGCATAGCAAGTCCTAATGGTTTTAAAATATGTTATCTGAGGACTTGAGTGGATTCAGACCTCAAAGAAAGGTAATACTGACTTACATCAGCCACATACCTCTGTATATAAGAGGCGTTAAGTGATAAGAGTTCGTTAAACTCTTCAAACAACCTCAATATGACAAATTACACTAACTCTAACATTTCAATAATGATGTAAATTATCTAAGGATTTATTACTATTCAACATTTAACTGCTTCATATATTGATTGTGCTTTGT